GCGTGGGAATGGTTAGGCCCGACTGGTTTTCAGTTAAACAGTACTTACATTTAAAGCAGCTTCTCCACACTTTTCAATCGCTGCAAGACCCTGATTATGAATGTGTGTCTCCAGGAGTTTTTTCAATTCTCCCAGGCCATCCTGGATTCTAGATACAAGATTATACATGCGACCCAAATCTGAAAGAAGAAGGCGCCACACCTTTATGCACAGAAACAAACTCTGCATATCCATTCCACTAAGTAAGTGCTTATTATAGAGGTGAAAGGTACACTGAAATAAAACCACCGTGTTTTTACACCTTAATAATCAAATGCACTTAACTGTAACCAAATACTTTATATTTAGCATATGTATATTTAGCTGAAAGTAATAATGAAGTCATGCTATTATAAAAGCATATTCGGGCTTCCCTGGTGGCGCAGTGGTTGAGTCCGCCTGCCGATGCAGGGGACACGGGTTCATGACCCGGTCTGGGAAGATCCCACATGCCGCAGAGCGGCTGGGCCCGTGAGCCATGGCCGCTGAACCTGTGCGTCCGGAGCCTGTGCTCCGCAGCGGGAGAGGCCACGGCAGTGAGAGACCCGCGTACTGCAAAAAAAAAAAGCATATTCTCCCCCTTGCTAGGAGAAACTACTAATAGAGAAAGAAGATGATCAGGAACTACATCTGAGGCTTCCTAACATTTGAGATTGAGGTATGATTTATGCCTGACACGTAATAGGCACTCAAATATTATTTAAAAGAATGAATAAATTTAAGGAGTATTTATGAATATCCATCTCAACTATACAAACAAATAAGTCACAAAAGGGTCCCCATATTCTTCACTTAATATATGTATGGCACATGGTTGATATATGAACACCAAAGAAAAATCCTGAATCCAAACACCAATCTTTTACTGAGCTCCTAACATGTCCCAGTAAAACAAGGGAGGGGTAAAGGAAATACTTCTGCAAAATTATAGCCTTCTCATCTTAAAGAATTTTCAGAAGAAACATACGCAAGAAAAAAATAACCAGGGGCTTCCCTGGTGGCGCAGTGGTTGGAAGTCTGCCTGCTGATGCAGGGGACACGGGTTCGTGCCCCAGTCCGGGAGGATCCCACGTGCCGTGGAGCGGCTGGGCCCATGAGCCATGGCCGCTGAGCCTGCGCGTCCAGAGCCTGTACTCCGCAATGGGAGAGGCCACAACAGTGAGAGGCACGCGTACCGCAAAAAAAAAAAGCACCCCAAAACAAACAAACAAAAAAAACCAGTGGTAGCATCATTTAATGCTAAGGTGTATGGAACAGGTTAGCCTCCAAACCAAACTGAAAAGACGCTCTTCCCCCAAAGTCACACCCCAAGCACACTGCAGAGGTCTGAAATCAACACACGACAAGGTACACACACGCGCACACACAATCTCACACGTGAATCTCTTAAAGAATGACTGGTGTTGGTAATGCTAACTCTGAGTCTAGAACTTCACACAATTTCAAAATCACAGATCAAAATAAATACCCTTGTGTTTTGACTCTCAGTGGCTCACCTTCATTTTTGTCGGCATCCAATAAATTCTGAAACTCTGTGTGGAAAATCTCCAAGTGTTTCTCGATGAGCACCTGCTCACACTTCCTGGCTAGCTCGTCCTGGGTGCTCTCGTGAAGGTAGACCTGGACTCTCCGCTGCTCCTCCAGCAAACGAGCCTCCGCCTGTGGGAATTAATTCAAGTCAGAGGTTTGGGTTTGCTTTTTAAAAACTGCTAACAAAAATAGCAGCAAATTAGGGCTTCCCTGGTGGCGCAGTGGTTGAGAGTCCGCCTGCCGATGCAGGGGACACGGGATCGTGCCCCGGTCCGGGAAGATCTCCCACGTGCCGCAGAGCGGCTGGGCCCGTGAGCCATGGCCGCTGAGCCTGCGCGTCCGGAGCCTGTGCTCCGCAGCGGGAGAGGCCACAACAGTGAGAAGCCCGCGTAGCGGGGAAAAAAAAAAAAAAAAAGGCAGCAAATTAAACTCACAAACCTGCCCAAAGGAAAAAAGGGAGGGGAGGGGTTCTCTGCTTTTAGGATGAATGCCAACTATAACTAACCGGTCACTGATGCGTCCCATGTTCTCTGTAACCTATATTTTTGCTTCCACGTCCTCTTTAAATGACTTTAATGAGGTTATCATGATTAACAGTCCACGTGTATTTACATCAATTTTCTTCCCACAGATACGTGGTGTTTCACACCTTTTGGGGGTAATACCCCTGGCGACATTGAGAAACCTGTGGATTCTCCACTGCACACTGACATGGAGGGAAGAACCACGCCCTCTGACTGAGAGCTACTTGAGGTCAAGTCACATAAATACATTCCCTGAAATGACCACATGGAAAGAATTAGTAGCAATTAGACTTTAAAAAAATTTAAATATTATGGCCTTCTCTTGCCAATCAACCGAATACGCATCTCTGCAATCTATTGGATTATTTATGCATCTCAATTTCTTCCATCTCCCTTCAAGGAAGAGAGGAAAACAGGGATGCAATTTAAAAGAGTAGCAAAGTTAATAAAAGTCGGTATGTTTTACAACATATTATCAGAAATGTGTGGTGTAAAGTATCACCTAGGAACCACTAAATTATCAAAGCAAGAAAGAAATTTCAGGGCTTCCCTGGTGGCGCAGTGGTTGAGAATCTGCCTGCTAATGCAGGGGACATGGGTTCGAGCCCTGGTCTGGGAGGATCCCACATGCCGCGGAGCAACTAGGCCTGTGAGCCAGAACTACTGAGCCTGCGCGTCTGGAGCCTGTGCTCTGCAACAAGAGAGGCCGCGATAGTGAGAGGCCCGCGCACCGTGATGAAGAGTGGCCCCTGCTTGCCAGAACTAGAGAAAGCCCTCACACAGAAACGAAGACCCAAAACAGCAAAAATAAATTAATTAATAAACTCCTCCCCGCAACAGCTTCTTAAAAAAAAAAAAAAAAAAAGAAATTTCAATGATCTCGCATTATTCAGGTAACCTGAATAAAGAGTGAAAAACTATATTTTGTATTGTAAAAATGCCAATACTTCCCAAAATGCTTTTTTTTTTTTTTTTTTTTTTTGCGGTACACGGGCCTCTCACTGTTGTGGCCTCTCCCATTGTGGAGCGCAGGCTCAGCGGCCATGGCTCACAGGCCCAGCCGCTCCGCGGCATGTGGGATCTTCCCGGACCAGGTCACAAACCCGTGTCCCCTGCATCGGCAGGCAGACTCTCAACCACTGCACCACCAGGGAAGCCCCCAAAATGATTTTTAAATTTGGCATAATTTTGGAGAAATCTAGAAAAATTCAAGTGGAAGAATAAACATCCAAGAGCCAAAAAAACAAAATGAAAAAATGACTGGGCAGGTCTTGCGCTGTCAAGAATTACTAATAGGACAATAGTTTCAACTGCATAAATTTAAACCTTATTGCACATTCCAAATAGAGTTAAATGTGAAAAACAAAATAAACTTGGAAAATATCTGTAGTATATATCAAAAGGTCAATATCCTTAATATATAATAATCTCTGAAAAATCAATAAGTATGTGCAAATAAAAACATGGGAAAGGAAAAGGAACAATTTGCAAAGTAAGAAATACTTGAAGATCCTGATAAGATATAATTTGTTATATTATTTGGTTAATGGAATACTGCTATCCAGCAAATAGAAAATACATTAATGTAATAAATTAGTGGAGGAAAATAGTTATTTAAAAACCCTATAGGGCTTCCCTGGTGGCACAGTGATTAAAGAATCTGCTGGCCAATGCAGGAGACACGGGTTCGAGCCCTGGTCCAGGAAGATCCCACATGCCGCGGAGCAACTAAGCCCGTGTGCCACAACTACTGAGCCTGCGAGCCACAACTACGAAGCCCGTGCTCCGCAACAAGAGAAGCCACCGCAATGAGAAGCCTGCACACCGCAACGAAGAGTAGCCCCGGCTCTCTGCAACTAGAGAAAGCCGGCACACAGCAACAAAGACCCAGTGCAGCCAAAAATAAATAAATAAAAACAAAACAAAACCCTATAGCATTACTCCAATTTGGTGTTTATGTGCATACTTAAGCAAGTGTCCCAAGTTTGTGCAGGTTTATGCTATTTGTATTTCCCTGCAAGTCTACAGTTGTGTGTTTTCTTTCCTGATTACAAAGCTATTTTAAAAAACAATAAAAGATCTTTCTGTGCTTTAACTCTGAAGTCCAAGCCTCTGCTGCTTCATATCTAGTATTTCACTAAGCCTGATACCTCAAGAACTAAAGCTGGTGAAATACAGGACATGCCAACCAAAAAGCACCACTTTTTCTCGAGGTTATACCTGTTTCCTGGAAGAACATAATACCCTGGCAGCAAAAAGTCATCTCTTAAAAACCTTTCTCTCCCCTAAAATGAAAGGTAAAGCTTTGGTATCACTGCTGATTCACTCTCTGGGGGACATTGGCTTTCCATCCCCTGTACTACAAAAAAAACAGTAGCACTCTACAGACTCTTCCTGCAGGGGCCAAGAGGGAAGAGCAAACTGGTCCCTAAGTGATCACAAAAGCCAGAGGGGCTCAGTAGTTGTTTACACAGCAGTCCCCCCTTATCTACGGGGGATATGTTCCAAGACCCCCCAGTGGATGTCTGAAACTGTGAACCCTATAGGTACTATGTTATGTTTTTTCCTATACCTACATACGTATAAGAAAGTTTAATTTACAAATTAGGTACAGTAAGAGATTAGCAACAACAACAATAAAGCAGAACAATTATAACAATATAATGTAATAAAAGTTATGTTTAATGCCTTTTCCATCTTAACTGGGCACGTGTCATGCACTGTGGCCATAACGTCAACTTGAGGTGTGACAGCAAAACTAGCACAAATTTTCCTTCTTCGCAATTTCATGGAGAGACAATTTATTCTCACCACAGATCTTAGCAACCTTTTCCTTATTAAGTTGAGAACTTCCTCCTTTTTACTTAAAGGAAGTACTTTATGGCTTCTCTTTGGCGTATCTGAATTGCTACTCTGGTGCTTTGGGGCCACTTTTAAGTACAATAAGGGCTACGTGATCTCAAGCACTGCGGACGACGGTCGATCTGATCACCTGGTCGATGAAGGGACTAACAGGGGAGACGCTATGGACAAAGGTATGATTCAAGGGCAAGATTCCATCATGCTACTCAGAACGACATGTTTCAATACATACAATTTAAAGCTTATGGACTGTTTACTTCTGGAACTTTCCATTTAATATTTTTCGGACTGAGGTTGACTGTGGGTAACTGAAACTGTGAATAAGGTGGGACTACTGTCCACAGGCCTACTTCCTTTTATTGCGATTCACAGATACTGCTTTTTTAAAAACAAAACAGAAACTGAAGGACTGTGGGTAGAGCAAGTGTATCAGCACCGTGTCTTCAATAGCCTTTGCTCACTTTGGGTTTCGGTGCCACATGCTGGTAACTCTCAAAATATTTAAACGTTTTCATTATTATTATTTGTTATGCTGATCTGTGATCAGTGATCTTTGATGCTGCTATTATAATTGTTTTGGCATCATTCAGCAATAAAGTTTTTTTAAATTAAGGTATGTAAATTGGTGTTTTTGACATAACGCTATTCTCCACATTTCATAGACTACAGTATGGCGTTATGCCCTGGGAAACCAAAAAATCCGAGTGACTTGCTTTCTCGCAGTGGTCTGAACCTGAGCCTGCAGTGTCTCTGAGGTTGGTGAAAAACCCAAGGTCCTGGGTGTTATGTCATTAGGTTTTAGGAAGGATAGTCAGGTACATTCTTTGCTGACTTGAAGGCAAATAAGCTCTTGACCAGCACTGTACTTGGAGATAATCACATCAGAACACCCAGATCAAATTCAGAATGACTCAATAAAGTTAAGCAACTAAAGACTGTTCCTATTAATTCTATTAGCATCAGTATGCAGGAAAAACAAAATGAAAAAAAAAAAGACCAAAAAAGTAATAAGCAAATTAATGAAATAAGGTATATTTATTTTTAAAGTTTTAAAAAGTGACATCAGAAACCTAGAAGAGTCACACGTTTTTTTCGTAGCTCAGATGAGACAGTAAGATATGCTAAAACACTAATATGGCTCAGGGGTGTTCATTCATCAACGTCATCAGTAGAAGGAAAGCCAAAGATTCTCAACTGTTTCCACTAAAAGATTCCTAACAACACAGAAATGGGAACATAGACCCCTCCAGGGAATTTGCACATCTAGCCCAAACTGTCTGTTAAAAGCAGAGTATTTCTTGAAAGTTCATGCTTTAACTCAATATTGTTCATGAGTTTTGTACTCTACTTCCTGATAGAATGTTTTAATATGAACGTAATTTCTTACGTTACTGAATAAAATGTTGCCACAATTTATCCCATGGTTTTGCATATTCTCAGCATATACTGAAGGTTCTGAACAATGTATGTGTGTAATACCAAACACATATCACGCTTGCTCTTTGCCAAGCATCAAATACTATATAATAATAATAATAATAAATTATCCCAAACTGAGGAACAGAAAGGTTAAGGTCAACTCCCTAGTAAATGGTGGAGTAGGGATTTTAAATTAGACCCATAGCTCAGTTTGAGATGCAAGGCTACAGCTATAGGTAAGGGTAGAATTGTTCACACGGTTAAATTCCAATTTTATGCTCACAGAGTCTCTGCATTATGGACTTTCAGAATGGATGGATGTCATGTTTGGTAAGATCCAAACAGAGTTGGGCCAAACCTTTAACGCCTCTAGGAAGAAATCCTCTCTAAGAGAGCAAGGATGCTGGAAGCATGCTCTCTGTTGAAGGCAGAGCTCACACTGGGTTGAAAATATCCAAGCCATTGGAAATGTTTGCTCCTCAAATTGCCTTTGGTTCCAGGTCCGATTTTTTTTTTTTTTTTTTTTTTACCATACGCGGGCCTCTCACTGTTGTGGCCTCTCCCGTTGCGGAGCACAGGCTCCGAATGCGCAGGCTCAGCGGCCATGGTTCACGGGCCTAGCCGCTCCGCAGCATGTGGGATCTTCCCAGACCGGGGCACGAACCCGTGTCCCCTGCATCGGCAGGCGGACTCTCAACCACTGCGCCACCAGGGAAGCCCCCAGGTCCGATTTTAAAAGCAGATTTCCCTGTTTTGGGAGTGCTGACGTAGCTCTGGCCTACGAAGCGGATTTCCTTGTACCAAAGCACTACTACCTTCCTGGCTGTGGAGAGCAGGTAGCTGCAATTCACTAAGTAGTCTGCAAATTGAAAAGGCCTGAACCACGCTTGTGGATGTGTACCCCAATAAGAGGCCCCACTTTTAAAAACATAACACAGTTTTAAAAGGATCACCATATATAGCAGAGTTCAATAAAATATGTCTTTATGCAAACCACACTCTGCCAAAATGAAAAAATGAGGTAACAGGCAATGCTTAGATTTAAAACAGATTTGTCAGGCAGCTGTCAGAAACTCTCTATAAGCTGGTTAGGTTCCAGACTGGCACACAAAAGCTAATTTAATCCGTAAGTATACACAAGGAACTATCACTACTCCAAGTATAATACTTCTTCTTCTTTTTTTGTTTTGTGGTACGCGGGCCTCTCACTGTTGTGGCCTCTCCCGCTGTGGAGCACAGGCTCCGGACGCGCAGGCTCAGCGGCCATGGCTCACGGACCCAGCCACTCCGCGGCATGTGGGATCTTCCCGGACTGGGGCACGAACCCGTGTCCCCTGCATCGGCAGGCAGATTCTCAACCACTGCGCCACCAGAGAAGCCCCCCAAGTATAATACTTCTGAAGCGTTCCACTTTTGTTAGGTTTTGAGGTATCAGAAATTTGTTTGTCAAGGACTTTCAGCTTCAAACTTGTAAGGGCCACTTATAATCACTATCTCTTATGGGAAAATGCACTTGGAATGTCACAAACAAATTGGGGAGGACCTTCTCTACATGGTTAGAAGGGAGAGCTGTTTGTTGCTCTTTCTGACTTACTAACTTTCGATCTCAGCACATGGAGAAAGTGATTCTGCAGTGCATTTGCTCTCCAAGCGAACAGAGAATAAAGGGGAAAAAGCAGGTGTCAGACACAATCAGCCCCAGACTCCCTGGAAGTCTCCTTGCCCGTCTCAGTCAGCAGCCGTAGCCTGTGGGCAAAATCCTGCCTGTAAGTAAACTTTCACTGGAACACCGCTGCACTGACTGTTTAGATGTTGCCATGGCTGCTTCTGCGCTACAACGGCAGAGCTGAACAGTTGCAAGAGAGACCACATGTGCACAAGGTCTAAAATATTTACCATCTGGCCCTTCATAGAAAGTTTGCTACCTCCTGACTTAGGTCACTCCTCAGAGCGTAAGTCTGGGATACCTGTATTCCCAAGAAGGAGAACGAAGAATAATTCCACTAGAACTTCACTGTAACATCACTTAATGTAGAAAAAGATTTACGATACAGACACCGATCTTGGATTTTTTCTTGTCTAAGACTTTGGTCCTGTTCTCTCAGAAGGACTTCTCCTCTAATGCAAACTTGAAGACTGTGTTATATAGATTTTTAGGGGATATTTCAGAAGCAAAAAAGCAAAAGCTTAAAGTTTGCAAATATTTGTTTCTTAAAAACTAGTTTCTCATTGACGTAAGACCGTGGCTCCCGTTAGATACACACATACATTCTATTGTAGTACAGTTCAAAACACGAAAGTCATACAGCTATTACGGTTATATCCTCCGATCAGTAAGGAGAACATTGAGCCATGATTATCAAATTAATTTATAAAAGCTCCTTGGTGAACTGGGAGAAACCATCTGCACCTGCTACAGACACTACAGGATAACAGTGCCTAAGAAATGACTTTGAAGAAAGTTGCATATATTAAAAAGAATAATTCATCTGAGCAGCAATAACTTTTAACTTAAGCCTACTTTAAGTACTATGTTTAAGCTTACCTTTTTCATGTATTCAGTAACCGGGTTCTGCTGCAAGAATTCGGTGCTCTCTCTGGTATAAAATCTCTCTGTGTCAGCCAAAAACTGAGATTCAAAGGATTCTTTGTACACCGTTAGCGTTGGGCCCTTCGCAAAGGCATCATCTTCATTCAGTCCCAGTTCCACTGGAAGTAAATAGGAACTACATTTCAACTGCCCTATTTTTGGTTATATTTTAAGGAATATACTTAGGTGTGGCATTCAGTTTAAGTTATGTTATAAATAACAGGGCATAAGGCAAATCTGTTATTCACTGGTAGTAAAGTATACTTTCAATAAAAGAAAAAAGAAAAAAGCCCAAGACACACAAAAGCAAGTAATTCTGATGGATGGCCAGGCACGTTCCAAGTTATCATGAAGTTCATTCAGAGAACGTTTATATTTCTAAAAGCTTACAAGAAGGAAGAATGCCTAATTCTAAACTTTCAAAGAAATACAATGCTACCTAAGCTTTTGAAATACTGTATTACTTTTTAGATTTCTCAATCTGTTATCATTCGGCTCCATTAATGACACTCTAGCATATAAATCCAGTAATTCAGTATGAGACCAGAAAAGAAAAGAATTCAAATGTCAAATGTCTAGTCCATCAAAATTTCCTTAGGGCACAAAGATCAAACAATTTTTATAATGGGTAAAATCAAACCGAATCACACTGACATAAAGAGAATTATGAGTACCTTTGTAAATGCTAACAATATTCTTGATAATACTAAACTATCTGAAAATAAATCTATTGGAGCATTGTTATGTAACTGTCACTTGATATACAACTTTGAATAAATTAAAGGGAAATTGTTTACCATAAGACTGTACAACTCCGCTTATCAGTCTTGTATTGATGGTTTCACCATTTCTTTCCTTTTCAATCAGTTTTAAAACAGCATTTGTTACCTTTAGAAAGGATATAGGAAGAAAACATGTAGATCACAAACTACAGTATGTACTAGGCTGGCCAAAAAGTTCGTTCGGGTTTTTAGCCAACCCAACATTATGTTACTACATAGCTCTTAAACATTAGAATCCATTAAATGCAAGATGAGAGGCACTCTTAGGACATCCCAAAGGAGTGAGGAAGACAATGGCTAAGAAATGAAATCTGGAAGGGGTTTCAAAAGGAAAACATGCACACACTCACACAAGTAGGTACCTGTTTATTCAATGGCCTGAAAAGACAATCTCTCCAAGTTACCAATGCAAGCTGGATGAAAAGAAAAAGGAACAGTATTAAATGGCTATACTTTTACTATGCTTTTTCCAAAGCTGAAGTCATAGGAAATAGCCTGAATCCTAGATTACATGTATCAATATTTCTAGATTATAAACTTGGTAAAAATCATCATGATGAAATCAGAGAGCCATTCTCTTAACAACTTCAAAAGGTATCAGAGTACAGACGTTTATTAGCTCACATTTTAATAGTTGAGAGAAAAAGAAAATCTGGATTTTAGGAGAACATACATATTAGCCCAAAGGGCAACGGTGGATTTAATGTATAAAATTGTTCTCTGACTCAAATGTATGTTTTGACCTAACACATTTAAGAAAGATAATTCCATTTATCATAGTTTCCTAATACTCAGTAAAATAAATAATAGATCTTAAATATCGAATAAGTTCTGTATCTTTATCATGGTGTTTTATGTTACATGGATGCATACAACTGTAAATGCATCAAACTGTACATCTTGGATGCAGTTTATTATACATAAATTATTCAAATTTCCCATTTTACTAGTATGTGTGCGTATGATGCATTTTTAAAAGTTTTGGAACTTCTCAACAGAGGTTATGTCAGAAAGTTACTGTAAAATGTTCCCCCAAAGGGAAATGTTACAATTCATATATGGTTTTTAAACTGTTGAGAAAGGTATTATTCAGTTAAGTTCAAACTCAAATTTATAACAATTTAACACTCAAATACAAACTGCTGAGAAATTAATTTAAAGGTAAATGCTATCAGTCTTATTTTCCCCCAAATTTAACCATAGATAAAACTGGGTTTATGTAAGATAATACAGTTCT